AAATGGAAAACAACACGGAAACTTAAATGGACTGACAGCAGAATGCCCCCAGAGAGCCTTCTCGCATCTTCAGATAAAAACGAAGTTCCAGATTTTTGGTTGTAAAAGCACGCTAACGTGTGGAGCCTCCTCACATTTTGTCTCTCAAATCGGCCTCTCGTGTAGAGTCTCTCGCATTTTGGCTGCAGAATCGAGCCGTCGCCTGAGACTTTCACACATTTTTAATCCAAAATCGAGCTGTCGCCTGAGACTTTCACACATTTGAAATGCAAAAACGAGCTCTCCCCTGAATTTTTCCTGATTTTGATTGCCAAATCAAGCTCTCGCCTGAGACTTTCTATCAAAACAAGCCAAAACAAAAAAATCCAAGAAAAAACAACAAAATCTTAAATTAATTCTGCACCCCTGGAAAACTTCCACATCAAGAGTTTTGCATCTTCGGTGGTGATGCAGAGCTCCTGAGGAAGAGGACTCGGTGGCCTGCCTCGGAATCTCAGAGCTGCAGCGACTGGCCGCTAGGCAGCGGCGTGCGTTATGACTTATGACATGTGAGAACTGAAGGCATCAAGCCCAAGTAAAATGTAATGAGAAGCGTGCTTGTTTCGGAGCCGTCAAAGAAAGTCATCGAGCCTGCACGACCAGCAGGCTTGGTTGCAGCCAGTCAGCAATCCTGCAAGCTGCGGGCATCGATGTTTCCGTTGTGGCAGAGCTTCCTGAGGCCCGAATCATGTGCTACTCAAGCCTTTTGTGCTGGTACCCAGACTTGATGCTTAGTCGCCTAGTGCAGACAAGAAGCTATTCCCCGTAGTCCATACTACTGCAAACAGATGGCATGTGTTCTTCAAATTGCCTTGCAGCTTCTGCTGTAAGACATTCCTTTTAGTCAATTCGCTTCCGCGGCATTTTTGGAAGGTTAGTTCAAGGTAAGCTCTCCTTCATCTGAAGCGTTGCAGGATATGCGTGCGCCTGTAGTCATGGCAGAGGTGTCGCAAGTAAGTCGCGGTCTTATGCATGCGTGGCTGTTGCACAGATCAGATCAGCTTCTGGGCCGTCAGAATGTACTGAGACCTGGATCACCTTCGTCGAGCTCGACAGGTCCCCAAGATTTCACGTTTCGCCTGGAAACGCTGAGAACAGAACCCATACAAACTCATGCGGGAATGCGGCCAGGCCTCAGAAGCCGTTGCAGCCAACGAGGCTTGCATTCTCGGGGCATCATTTGAACCACTGGCGAGCTTCTGCAGCTTCAGGCCAGCACTGCCCCGTCAGAGATTGTTGCGGGCTCAACATGAGTATGCATGAGTCATCAGAAAAAGGAGTGCATTATATTCCTTCTACAGCCCGTTCTCCTAGGATGCGGTGGTTCTCGAAGCTCTGCCGGCGGACATCCGCGAAGAGGTCAAAAATGCCAGAGCATTAGGATCGCACTTTGCCAACATGCGATGCACGCCAGAGTCATGAAGACAGGCTGCAAAATGAATCATTTCCCTTGGAGAGTTGGGCGTGCATGTTACTAACTGTCGCAGTAGCGGCCACTTGTAAAATCATGTTGCAACTCAAGCTGCGGTAAATGCAGCTCGCGTGAATGGCCAGGTGTTGCGCGAGGAAGCTACCCGCCGAGAGCAGCAGGCTTCATTTGTACTCAGTTGTAACAGTGCTCTCTCTGCTCATCTCCACCATGATGACTGGTTGTCCTGTCGATGCAGGAACTGTTGTCAAGCAACTAATGGCAGGCGGCAGCAGCGGCAGCTGCAGCCACACAAGCGCCTCGCGCTGGCCTCAAGTATCACCAACAGTGTAGAAACAAGCCGCCAGTAACCATTCCTGTTTGACACGCTGCTCTTTCTGCTGGAACTTTGCTGTAATGCTCTCCGTAAGCATGCTGAACTGCCCGTGCTCAACATAAGAATGTCTGGCCTGAGCTGAACTGTGTTGTATGGATTGTTTGTAGGCCAGACCGAGAGCAGTGAAATCGACAATGCCTCCTTCATTGCGCCGAGCTGGCTTGACGATTCAACGCCTCATGGCAACACTGCTACATGACGCTGGATTCGTCACTTTCCTTGCAGTGCTTTGCGGGGTTCGATCAAGTGTGAACAATGCAAATTGCAGCGTACGGGGCATGCCTGAGCAAAAATAATTCAAGGACTTGCTTGTGAAGTGCAACTGTGAAATGACTACGACTATGACCATAGCTCTTGAAGTGCGGGGCTGGCTTGCCACTTGAGCCTGTGCTGCTTGAACTAGAGGCTGAAAGCATCCATGTGTGAGCTTGGGCACGTTGACTGGAAGTGAAGGCCGAGTTGTTTGCCGCCAGGTCCTTGGATCCCCTTTTGCGCGAAGAGGTGCTGCTCAGCGCCCCAGAGGACCGGTGCTTTCCTTGTTACCGCATTGCCATGGCAGAAGTCCATTCCACTCAAGGGTTGTAAATAGTATAATGAATCACGCCCTAACCTCTGCAATCCCGAGTTCTTCAGCCAGGATGTCCTTCGGACACTCCCGGCCGAGCTTGTGGCAGAAGCGCAGCTTGCCAAGTTGGAAATTTGAGCATCAAGACAGAACCCTCTCCAAGGTTTTGAACCTGAATGTAGAGTGGTTCTGTGCAGAGTGTATTGACAGTTCACGAGTTGCGGCAGTTGCCGGCTTCTGATGCTATGAGCAGTTCCTTGCATGTCTTCTGAACATTCACAAGCACGCAACTTCTAATCAGAAGCGCTTCTGCAAGAATCCAAGCAGAGAGACACAAAGACGGCCTCAGCTAGACCAAGCTAAGGCAGCTACTTCGGGACCGAGTCAAGAGCCTGGAACAAACAGACTGTTGGATAGGGCAATGTCGGGCAGATCGTAGGGTTGCAGGGGAGCAACTGGATTCATAGCGTTCATGCTTGATTCAGGCTCCCAGCTCAAGGTCCCATTGCCAGAAATGTCAGCACGCCAGACTGAGAGATGCCTAGGCTTTTACCCGTATTGCGCTGCGACGAGAGGTTCCGCCCGCAATTGGCCCAGAAACCAGTTCGTGTTGCGAATAACTCAACATGCTTGCGTAGTTACAGCACGCATTGAGCAGTATCAATGTCTGGCAAGGAGGTCTCCTAGAACGCATGTCAAAGTCGTTGTAGAGAGACTTGAATGGATAGTGACATTCAGGTGACAGGGCGCCCGGCAATCGGCATTGCCACGCCGCCTGGTACGAGCCAGGCGTGAAATGTTTGCACGGGCATGGCAGACGGAACTTCCATGTCGGCACGCACAGAGCTTGCATTCTCGAGCTTTGCCAGCAAGTCAGCAACACCGGTGTTGGTCAGCCAAGTTGGGAAGGCAAATGGCCACAGCCAGCGTGGAGTCCATACGCAGGCTGGCTCTCTGCTATCTGAATTGCAGCCCCTACCAACACGCTGCGACTTAGGCTTAACGTTTGGCTGTTTCTGGTCAGAACATTCGCGTAAGTAAGACGGCTAGCTGGGCTGGATGGCAGCGAAGAGGATGAGTAGGCATGAAAAAGACTTCTCAAAGTTTTCCCGGTCTTTGTCCAGCTTGCGCTGGGTCTTGCCTTTCTTGCCAGCTTGTATGACATGAGAGCAAGGGATGACACGGCATCTTGGTTGAAGACTCTGGAACTGCGATACAGACAAACCCCGACGAAGCGGAGAGTTGTCACATTACGTGGGCCCACCAGAAGCATCCAGAAAGGGTTGGTGTTGGTGCAGAAAGCAACCTTGTCACGAAAGCTAGCTCGTTGGAGCTTGCAAGATTCTATTTACCAATATAGTTTCTTGGGCTATGGACAACTTCCGGGACCACTTGGTCCGATATATCGGAAATTGAATTTGAGCGCCAGGGGGGGGTGCCTCGCCCCTCCCCCCACCTGAACGTCCGATAACCTCAAAGGAAGAAACTCTCCGATTGTGGTGGAGCCCCCCCCCCACCTGTGGACCTCCCCATCTATGGTTCGGTTCTTCTTTGAATGAGCCAGGCTTGCGGTCATTAATTTGCAGGCTTGCATCGAAAGATTGGCGTGCCGATGTTCATGCGGTCTTAGAGTAGCACTCTGGCAAGCATAGTGACAGCATTTGTAAATCTACACGCCGATTTCTGCTGGCAAGCAAAGCAGACAGTATCGCTGCCAGACCTACATGCCGATTTCTTGCAAAACCGAAGCAGAACCTGGAACATTTTTGGCAAGTTTTCGTGCTGTCGACTGCTTGCTCGGAGGAAGCGGCTGTAGAGTCGCAGACTTCGAGTTGAGGGGAGAGGGTCAAAGACCCCACAGCTGCTTGTTCCCGGCAAGCTGTCGACAACATGAAAGCCGGCCAAAACTGTTTGAGGTTTTGCTTCGGCCTACAGATCAACGTGTAGGTCAAGCAGGTCTAGTAGCCATACTGTACGCTGTGCTTGCCAGAAGAAACCGGCGTGTGGGTTTACCCATGCTGTTGTGCGTGCCAGAATGCTAATCTGAGATAGCTTAAGCACCGGCATGCCAATCTTTCAATGCAAGCCGGCAAAATCATGACCGAAAAGCATGCGCAGACATTCATCTGAACCTGGCTCAGTCAAAGAAGAACTGTAGCGGGTGGCATCCATGTTGCGCATTCTGATCGAGTGTTGCCCAAGTGGTTGCGCCTGGGCAGCGGCCGTGTAAGACACGAGAACGGGGATATATAGGGATTCTATTGTAACAACGGAGAATCAAATGCAGAAGAGAATGGAACATGAAGCAGAGAGTGGGATTGTCTGGTGGTTTATGAGGACTAGAGCGCTTTACATCTAATCAGCAGGGAATGAAGGCATGGAAGCTAGTAAATTATAAGGCTCTGTAGGGACACTAGGGTAACACTCTAGCAGCATGCGTAGAAAAAAGGTCCGGCTCGCTTGCTGTGATCTAGCTTTCCATGACTTCACCCGCCAGAGCCCTGTGCAAGGCTTGGCCGCGACAACACGCGCACCTGCTCATGATCGAGCCGTTGGCCCAAAGGTGTGTATGCGCGAATACGTACAATGTGCAACAACAAAGATCTCTCATTGCGCGTGAGCGACGGCCGCAACAGCACCAAGATCCTGCAGCTAAGGCAACAGCTGCTTCATCACTCTAGTGGTGTGCGTCGCTGGGGTGGGCCAGCTGCTCAAAGAATTACGTTTGGTCTATGTATGTAGCCTACTTCGCCTAGCTGTCAGCCACAGAGGCCTCTTGGTTTTCAGAGGCCTCCTCGAGGGCAAGGCGTGATGCTTTGAAGTTTTCTGGGGCGGGTGTCTTGCAAGCAATGCACCGATCAATCAAGATTCTATGTCCTTGCCAGGAGACGCTGGTGAAGCTGGCGAGTTAGTTGAAATTGGTTGCAGAAGCATAACCTGACCACGTGAAGCAGCCAGCCGCAGTTGGGACTTGGGTGGGTTCAAGTGCTTTCATAAGGTTGGGGGCTCATGGAGTGCAGATGAGTCAGGACTTGGAGTAGAAGTAAGGCAATTGGGGTCGAACAGCATAAACTAAGTTCAAGTGGTAACGGCTTTTTGCCGGCTAGGCTAGACTTGGAGTCCCTGCACAATTCTGCACACCGTACATTGTAACCCATTGGCTGAAACCTTCGCCAAGAACCCGGCCAGCTGGGCTTCTCAGATGAGATATAGTCTAAACTCCTAGTATCCACCTTAACGACTATATAGTACTCCCCCATATATTCCCCCATATCACCCTCCTTAAGGAGTTTAGACTATAGCTCAGATAATGCCAGGTGCCCCTGGGCTCAGCTCCTTTGACGAAGCGGATCAGCAGTTGCCTGGATCCTCGGAGCATCGGATGTCCAAAGAGACTTGGTCGGAGTCTAGCCATGCTAGACGACTGACATCTAGGTCTGGCCACTAATTCTACTAGTAGCTCACTAGACTGCACCTCATGATTCTGACAAGCGACCCAAACTTCCTGAAGTCATTTCTGTACTGGAGGTGTTACAGAAAATCTGCTAGGCCTTTACCTTGCAGCTTCCTGCACTTACCAGGTTGCAACGCCTTGCAGACTTTGACGATGGGACTGCGCTAGCGCGGCCCCCAAGGGTTTTGTGAAATCCTGTATTTGTTTTTTTCTTGCGGTTGCAGTGCGGATGCTTGTTTGAAGCGCAAGTATGCTTGGAAGTCTCTCCTTGCCGGCAGATTGTTGCACTGAGGAGGTGCCTCTTCCAAGCAGCGTCATTCCGCATGCTTGCCGCCGCAGCCTTCGCATACTCTGTTTGCATCTGTTCGCCATGTTCGCTTAACATGAATGCAGTCCATGCTGCTATGTTGCAATACATTGTTCAGGTCTGCTTTACCTCCGCCAGGAGATCGCGACCATGCCAATGACGCGTTTGTGCTTCAATCTGTCGCTGCATCCAGTGACCCGGAGCTGGCTCTTAGGCCACTTCCTGGTACTCCTGTGCAGGCAGACAGAGACGGAGGCCTCGCTGGACTCACTTCCGCCACCCTGTCTCTTTGAAGGACTTGAAGGGCTGAAGCTGCCACACCGAAGTTCGCTGGAGGTCCAGTCCGTTGGCTCCCAGCGGGTCTTGGCCATTTTGGCATATTTGCTCCGGCGAGTTCCTCAATGTGGCGACTTCTTCGCGAGGAAGCTGCTTTCGAGCGAGCCATGGCTGAAAACCTTTCAAGTGCCGCAGTGGGTCGCGGGCGACCGAAGCAAGAAGTCTCGGGGAGATCTATCACTCCTGCAAGGGCTTGGGATGTCAGACCTGCCTGGCCACTGTGCGGTGAATCTGCTCATGCAACTTGTCAATACTAGGTTGTACTTGTCCTCGTCGCGACATGCTGCATGGCTGCTCTCCGTCCTGCACGCGCTGCTGGTGCCGCAGCCTGCTCACAGCAGCTCTGACAAAATGTCGAAGGATGAAAGCAACGAAGCTGCAGAGCTGCCCTTCCCTTCTGTGGTTGCAAATCATGCGTCTCCGATCTCTCCGGCTTTTGTCGGAGCTCAAGCCCCTGAAGCCTTTGCACCGCCTGCAGCTAGTCCTTCACCTGTTGAGGGGACGCCTGGCGACTCTGCAAGCCCAGTCCCGTCCCCTCCGGAGGAGACACCGGGATCACAGAGATGGACGAAGATCATCGAGGACATGCACATGGCCTTGTCTCAGAAGAGTGTGTTGGCACTTTGCCACTTCCTTTGTCATGCTGGAAGCGGTCACGGCTCCAGCAGCGAGGGTGACGCTTTCCAGTTGGCCGGCGACATCCTCGTGGCATTGGCTGCCTCACGGACACACTTGGACACGGTGCGCTGTGAGCTGATGCAGGTCCTGGCTGCGCTAGTCACGGACATCGAGCGAGCTCTACAAGAGTGTGAGGCGGCTGCGGCTGAGCCCTCCACGATTGAGTCGCGCTTTCTGCGCGTGGTGAGAACATTGACGGAAGTCTTCCGGGAGGCCTCAAAGTCAGGCCCAGAGGACCGGGACCGTAAGCCAGAGGGCCTTATGGAAGAGGCTCGTGTCGAAATGCTGTGGGATGCCTTGGATCGCACTCTGGAACGTTTGGATGACCCAGAGATGGCTGCCACACCGGCACAGAGATTGTTGTCAGCAGCCCCAGAAGCTGAGTCTTCACAGGTGGACAACAGCCAGTCGCCCCCAAAGCCTTTGCTGAACCGGCTGCTGCCCCTCATCGAGGCCTTCTTTGTGCTCCACGGCCACATCACTGACGAGGCGGACAAGGCTCCTCGACAAGAGGAACCTCTTCAGATGACGGAGGGCGGCTCCTCATCTTCCCAACCTGGAAAAGCCCAGTCGCCAGCTGAGTTGCTTGCAAAGTTCTGCACTTGCTCTGAATCTCGCAGGCTGCAAAGTCAGGGTCGCGAAGTAGTTGCCATGGGCAAGCCTTCCACAGACTTAGAAGCACGGCGGCGTGTTCTTGACAAAGTTAGTGTCTCCGTTTGGTAGCTGGGCTCATCGCTGAGGACTCGGCATGTCTTTGCAGAGTTCCATGAACAGTCTGCAGCCGAGAGATCTCGTTTCGGCCAGTTCTGCAAGAAACACCGGCGCCCTTTGAACGCGCTGCTGAAGCAGACGCCTTCGCTGCTTTCAAAGTCCTTTGCCCCAGTGCTTCAGTTCATGCCGAGCTGTTTGGACTTTGACAACAAGCGTTCCTACTTCAGGCTGGGAAGGGAAAAGGGCCGGGCTAAGCGACACCACTGGACGATTTGATGTACTGGACCAACAGCCCTTAAGTCTTAAGTGTTTTCGCTTACTGATCAGCATTTGCTTGGCACGTCCTTGCGGGCTACGAAATCTTTGTGCAGCACCGCTTGCCAGGGCGCAACTACGGCCCAGAGCTCACGCAAGGGTTTGTTCAACTGACACTGCTTTGTCGAGCGCAACTGTCGAGCACGCATGAAATGAATGCAGGGCGTTGCCGCTGCTGATCCACTCATCAGGTCCCGGCGATTAGAAAGCCGGTATCAGACCATCCGCTTGCGGGTTCGGCGGAACGAGATCTTCATGGCTGCAGCCCTAGATGCGCCTCAAGAGGGAGAGAGAGGATGAAGTGGCTGAAGACTTATTTCGTATGTACAAATGACCAGCACTTCAGGACTCATACCACCAGCTTCGAATACGAACTGGTGAAGAGATGAGAGCCAAAATCCAGGCCTGGGCAAGTTCAGCGCTGATCAGAGCTGTGTGCTCGAACTGACCATAGCACCCCGCTGGTCCGCTGCCAGGTTCAGTTTCAGGGCGAGGAGGGCATTGATGCCGGAGGGGTTGCCAAGGACGATGCGTTCGAGAGCACTGCTATGAAGTGAAGACTCCCGCATCGGTTTCGCTGCAGGAGTGGTATGGGGCCCTGGCCAAAGAAATCTTCAATCCCAACTATGCCCCTCGGCGAACCTGGATACTGCTGCCATGCCTGCTCTCACAACGTTTGGTGACCACAATGCCATACCTCCAAACATTGCCAGGCCCTCTTCGTGCAAGCTGGTGGCAAGGCCAGGATTCAGGATTCCTTCATAGCTTGACTGCTTGACCCCACATCAGACACCTCATGTAAGCAAACGCGCTTTTCCATGGCCCCCGCAGCTTGCCTTGAAGCTCGAGTCACCCGTCTTGCTTTCAAGTGCTCTTTTCAGCTCAGCTGCTTTGAGGCTTGCACGTACCATCCGAATCCAATGTTCTCGACCCAGCGACAAGCATTGGGCAACATGTTCTGGAAAAACGGTAAAGAACTAACTGGCGCCTGGAGGATAGTGGGAACTGCAAGGATAGGAGCTGAGAGATGTTCCGAATTTGAGGTCATACGTCAACAGGGACCACCTCCAGTTTTTCCACTTCATTGGAAGGGTGGTTGGGAAGGCTCTCATCTGTGCTGTCCTGGTGTATTCTGACAGATGTCAGTTTGACATGTGCTAGCTGCGGCGTAGTTGCAAACCTACAGATGTGTGCAGGCAAGGCAGAGTCCTCTGACGTAGACTTGCCAGCAATGCAGCTGCTGTGCAGGCAATCCACGACGGCCAAAATCTGGAGGCGTGGTTCACTCGAGGCTTCTACAAGCACATGCTTGGAAAGAAGGTCGGTGTCCAAGAGACTGTGTCACATCTTGCAGGAACTCCGGAAGCTTATGGAAAACCCTGCTCAGGTGATTCCTGCTGATCTGGAAGCATTCGATCCAGAATATTTTTCCAATCTAAAGTGGTCTCATTCTCAGACGCTTGAAATGCCTGCACTAGCATTTGTGCATGATTCGCGCCCTGATCACATTTAATTGACCCAGGATGCTTGATCATGCCATGGCCTCGGCGTTTGGAAAGTTCAAGGGTCCAAGTCACGAAGCAATGAAAAGCAGACCCAGTAGTGCCAGTAGCCTCTAGTTCGGATCTTGTGCTGCGACATGAATCGCTGCGCACGCGGAACTACGCAAGCGCCTTGCTGCTGTTATGATGCCCTGGCTGTGCAGGACATCACAGACATCATCGAGCTCACCTTCTCTGCTGAGAGCGACGAGCTGGGGCAGATCAAAGCGCAAAGCCAAGTGTGCTAGCAAGAGCAGCAGCAAAACTTCCATCGCGGTTAGTGCAGCCACAGCTCGGTCCGCTGCCATGCTTCCGCGCCATTCAGCGCCCTGTGGACTTACCCAGGTGGTCGACCTGAAGCCGCATGGCAGAACATTGCCTGTGACAAACGAAAACAAACATGAGTCTTGGCCTTGGACCATTGCGATTGCAGCTGTCTGAGAGTTGCCAAAACGTCATAGCCCGCAACGGACATCACAACAGATCATTAGTACGTAAATGGATTGCAGCCAAAGCATCCCGCCGTCTTCGGCCATGCTCATGAGCAGTAGAACTGTCCGCAAGTATCTTGCGCTTCATGAGGTACATTCAACTCATGTCGGAGCACAAGATGCGCTGGCCTCATTGCACGTGCTGCAAACTTCTACTGTCTCTGGCGGGGCAAGCATATTCAAGCAGTTTCAGCGGTGTTTTCATGGCTGCGCTACAGCGCTTGGTGTATCGAATTCTAAAGGATAAGACGCGAAGGGCTTCGGCCTTTGGCTGCCTGTAGTGGAACGGCACACCTTGCTGAGATTTGCCGAGGACCAACTCCGTGAAGCAGCAAATAGAGCATTTCCTCAAAGGCCGGGTGTGTTTTTTGCTGGCAAAGTTGAAATCCATGAAGCATACGGAAATGCTCTGGCTTGACATGGGTCAAGGCCTGCATGAGATCGTCCCCCCACAGCTGTCCCTGCCTCACAGACTCACAGACATCTATTCGGGTTTACAGATTGTGCTTTTGAGCTGCGCGTTTTGAGGCTGTCGCTATTTGACGACAAGGAGCTGGAACTTCTCATCTCTGGCCTCCCAGACATTGACATTGAGGACCCTGCCGGTGTAAACAGGCTTAACTTAAGTCCTCCACTGCAATAGGAGAGGCGAAGGGCGAGGCTGAAATCCTAAAGCACATTGCTTCTTTGCCATCTCTGAGAGTCTGGTCCTCTGTAGCGTGCAGATTTCGAGTTTGATTTGCCTGAGAGGATCTGAAGCAGAACACCGAGTATCATAATTATACGCCGCTGTCCGACCAGGTCCAATGGTCCAAGTCTCAAGCAGTGGAGCTTCAGCTTGGCTTTGCGTTTCCTCCGCGATCGACCTGCTCTGATGCAGGGAAGTTGTCGCTTCTAAGGTTCTGGAAGGTGCTGAGCGAGTTTAACCAGGACAATGAATGGCGTGGTTTGCCACGGGGCGTTCAAGTGTCAAAGCTTTGCTCAGTCACCTCCTGCATTGCTTTCGTTCCCGCGGTCGCGGCTGTGTCTTGCCTTGGAGCTCTGTGCCGACTGCAACGGCATGCCAGGAGCAGCGAGCTTGGTTCCTCCAGTTTGCTACCGGGACCTCGCGCGTTCCGGTCGAGGGCTTCAAGGCAAGGCATTTGGTGGCTTCGCAGAGCTTGTTGAGCTGAAGCTTCTCGCAACCGCATTTGAATGTCATGGACCTGACAGGGTTTGGTGGGCATGAGAGGGCCGCAGAAGTTTTCGCTTCACCGAGCATACGGTGTCGAACCTAGAAATGGTTCCGTTTGCGCAGAAGCGTTGTTTTCTCTTAACAAGCTAACTGCATGCAGCGGAAGTTGCGCCTTTAGCAGCTCTGAAGCTGCTTTTCACGATGGATGCTACTTGTGGTAGGGTTATCTTTCATCGGCCCGGTTTCTATGCATCGATTGAGCGTCTACTTGGGGAAACCATGTCTTGGGCGGGGCCACTCCTTAGCAACATAATCAGGAAGATGTTGCTTGTGTTGTTCTACGGGTGTTGAGCCCTCCCCCCAATACATTCAGGATTTAGCTCGGGCTACTTTAGCGAAACCCCACGGCAAAATCGGTATTTCTGTGAGCTGTTTGCAAAATCTCCGAATACATACAGTATTGCTCGCAGGTGTTGATACAAAAGCCCCTAGTAGGGCACAAGTCTGAACACTCTTTCCGGCTCTTCCAAACACAGCGTCTCTTTGGAGATTTCTTCATGCAGAGAGGCCACAAAGCATGCCAAACGTGCTGCAAACTCTGCATGGGTTAGTGGCTGCCTCATAAGCGGAGTCCTTCTGTCCGGCTCTTCTAAACACAGCATCCTCTTGAAGATTTGCATCCCATGATGTGTAATTTACCCGATGATGTATTTTTCCTGATGGAGCGTCTCCATGCGGAGACGCATATTCTCACTGACTGATGTGTGATAACTCCGGCACAAGTACTTGTGAGGTAGCGGATGCCTGACCTGGATTCTCGCGTTCCACACTTTAAGGTTCAGATCGGCTCCCGTCAGCTCACACCTGCTTCAACCAGCCTGGGCCTCACCAGAGTTCAGATGTCACAGGGATGTCTTCAGAACAGCTATTAATCTGTTAATCCTGGGCATTTGACTTGAGCAGGCTCACTCACAGAAGGCACAGTGATCTAGACTCCAGGACATAGGGGGTTGCAAGTCTTTTGCAGGTAGTAGCCGACAGTTGAGCAGGTTTGAGAGCCCTACACATCGGATTAACAATGACATTTTGCCTTTAGCCCGTGGACGACATTTGCCTCGTCAGTCACTCTCATTACCTGCGTGAAGCGTTTCACACGCAATGCCAAGCATGTTCAGGGTGGACCTGCCAGAGTACCCATCGGAGGATGTGCTGCGAGACAAGCTGTTACAGGCCTTGTCGTGGGTGCGCATGCTTTTCGCGGAGTCTGATTGTACAGTATTTGCCGACTCTTTGCTGAACGTTGCGCAGTAAGTCTGGCAGGCCGTAAGCGAAGGCCACGAAGGCTTCGGCTTTGCCTGAGCGAAGGCACGATCGTGCGGACCCAGTGTTTTAACGAGCAATTGTGCGTGTCCGCGGATACTTGTTACTTCTCATTTTCCCTTCATAGCACAACGCAAGCTTGATTCCCTGAGGCACTTCCTGGAACGGTGCCTGGATTGCAGCAAGGTCTGCGATTTCTTGTTAATGGAAGCAAGCAAGGCTGCGCATGTACCAACCTGGCAACGCGGTCTTGACAATCCTTGGGGGCTGCAGGTTATGAGTTTGCATACGTACAAACCAGATGTTGGTTCCCCTTGTGCATCTCAGCCCATAATGTGCGAACACTTGTTCTGCAGAAGCCGTCCATATTAAGAGCTGCTGATGGCAGCTGCCTGCTTGTTGTTGACCAGGGGGTTCCGCTGGATTGTTCGTTGATGCTGAGAGGACATAGTTGATAACTGCTGGAACTTTTGCGTCAACGGCTTAGGCAAATGATGTTCCAAGTCGCCGGCTTCCAGAAGTGAGTCCAAATCTTTTGACACCCAGCAATGTGTCCCCAAGTAGTTCTGCCAGTCACTCCTTTTTGCAGGTGTATCCTGTAACAACGAACCTCCTTGACTTGGTGAAGCATTGCAGGGCTTTGTCTTAGAAGGCTGCACGGAGATGTGCCATGGCGCATGCCACTTGTCCAAAGAGTTGTCCAGGCAATCCCCGCCTACTGGGCTTTTCCGATACGTTTCCCAAAGCTTCCAAAATTCTGCAACCTCGCTGGGATGGAGGTGCAAGGTAACACCCTTGAAGCAGTACCTCTCGTGGACGACGTATTTCAGAGCGTTTCAAAAGGGTGGGGTCACATTGATATTTTTTTCTGACAAGCAGTTTCCACTTCGACATACTTGCGGTTTTCACCTCTCCCACTCTGGCCAGCATGCGGGCCAGCAAAGAAGGGCCGAGGATTGCCAGGAAGACGGCGGTGCCTCAGAGCTGTTCTAGCTCCTTACATTGGAGGCGCCGTCTGCATGGGCTCATTCTCCGTGCAGCTGGGAGAGAACATTCTCAAACATGTATGACTAAATTCAAAATAGGTGGGTTGCCAACACATTCCAAGCTCTTAGGAACGTTCTCTTACACGCCGAGAACGTCGTGCAAGGGCTTTGCGTGGGACAGTGAGCCTGAGGCAAAACATGCCTCCTGCCTGGTCGCGTCTGTAGAATCTTGCTGCCGCAAGTAACTGTAAATCATAGCATAGTCTGGTAAAGCCTCACATGTTGAGCATGGGCACGAACATATCTTGTGCCCTCGAATCTCTGCCCGTGGCCCGTTCAAGCCCAATTTGAGCAACAGCTGGCTTGCCATGGTTTAGATTCAGTGGTAGCTGAAACCTCCGCAGCAGTTGCAGGAGGTGCTGATTCTGTGATTCCAGTTGTACAGCTGGGCAAATTGGCGAGCCAAAGCCGCCATTCGGTCAGCGCAAGCCGGACGATCCTCGAGCAGCCCTTGGAGTTGGCCAAAGCCTTCTCCAAGAAGTCCCTATGGCGAGCATCCCTGAATCTGCTGATACATTTAGAGTCCCTGCGCCTGCAAGCCCTGCAAGCCAGCTTCGCGAGTATCCAGTGCCACAATTCTGCGGTATCCAGCTGCACGCGGGCTGGGGAATGGCAGAGTGCCTGGCAGGTGCTGCGGCATGTTCAAGACAGAAAGTTGCGGACCTCGGTCGTTACAGACGGAGCAGCAGTTGCCGCCAGTGAGCGGGGTTCTCAGTGGCAAACGGCGCTGCAGCTGCTCAAGGCCAACATTGTAATCTACAGCTCCGCACTAAGTGCTTGCCGCTTGCACTGGCCGGTGGCGATGTGGCTGCTCTCACAGCTGAGCACGTCGCGCCTCGAAAGCGATATCATCATCAGCAGCGCTGCCATCAGCTCCCTTGAGAAGGCAGCGAAATGGCGGCAAGCTGTACACCTTCTGTCCGATTTGCACCATTCAACGATGCAAGTTGACGTGATAGTCTACAATTCAGCCATCAGCGCATGCGAGAAGAGTGGGGAATGGCAATGGGCATTCTGGCTCTTCTCGGAACTCCAATCTCAGAAACTGCAAGCAGATGTCGTCTCATATAGCACTACCATCAGCGCATGTGAGAAGGTAGGGCTTTGGCCGTACGCCCTCCATCTTTTCACGCTCCTATCGTGGGGGAGGGTGCAAGGCAATGTTATCACCTACAGTGCTTTGGCCAGTGCCTACGAGAATGCTGGACTGTGGGAATTGGCGCTGTCCACCCTGCATGACCTGACGCAGTCTGCAGTGCAGCCAGATGTGATGATCTACAGCGCATGTCTGAGTGCTTGTGAACAAGCCAGTCGCTGGAGCAAGGCCATTGCTCTCTTTCAGGAGCTGCACTGCTTGAAGATGGAACTCACTGTGGTGAGCTACTCAGCAGCTTTGAAGGCTTCCGTCGCTGTGGAGCAGTGGCGCTGTGCGCTGGCTCTGTTCTCAGACCTTCTCTCCTGGACACCAGGGAACTTGATCACCTCTGAGCTGGCTGTCACGGCATGCGAGCAGGGTAGGCAGTGCAGTACTATCTTGGAATTCTTAGCCGACATCCCTGAAAGGGGCTTGGACATCTTGCAGGGGCTGGGGCACAGCAAGAAAAATCTTGTCCTCTTTGGCTGGATGGCAGCTACTTACTGCGTCGACTCAATTGGTCATTCAACACATGTAGTCAACTCGAGGAGAGTTGCTGCAAGATGCTCCGGGGCTCCTCTTAAGCACCTCTTGCATGGCGGCTTCCTCAACGCAGACTCCGCTCCTCCGCAGCCTTTTGTTCTCAATCAGGCCATACTCACAGAGGAGCGCTGCAAAGCAGAGCTTCCTTTTGCTCAGTGAGTCCGCTTGGTTTTTTCAAGCTTGCGCTGCTTGTCTTTTGATGATTACTGATGTGTTCGAAGTCAGCTCATTTGTGACATAGAGTGCAACATGAGCAACCATATGGAGTGCAATACATGGTTTGATCTAGAGGGAGTTCGTTGCTTCCGATTTCTGTGCGCGGCGCATTCCAATTCGTAGGGTCACCTCTGCCATGTTTGGCGCAGGGCAGTGTGACCTCTCATGAAGTTGGGAGCTTACCTGGCCTGTAACAAGGTTCCCACTTGTCCACTTGTACAACGTGTCTGAGGTCAATCAGTCGGCAAAGTCAGAACCAACTGAGGCTCTACCTGCTGCTCCCGCTGGCCTTTGCGCATGGTCCCTCAAAGGCAAGTGCTCAGGGCACGAAGCCATCGCACATTGTACGTTGCACGCACATTGCTAGTCAGCACAAGTCAGCCGGCTCGCTGGTTTCAGACTTCTGCTGGGCTTGAAGTTATAGCTCCCGCATCCACGGCAGTTCTTCACCTCACCTTGCTGCAGGAAGCCCTCCATCCGTTGGGACCTGGCTGGATCCGAAAGCAGTCATTGCAGAAGCTTCCTGCACTGGCCCCAGGTCTGCGAATGGTTTGCACGATCGCAGCTGTTTCCTAGAACGCCTCTTTGAGCAGATGCAGTGATGCTTAGGTAACAATATCCCCGCGCGGCGATGCTGACGTTTTCGCACTGCTAAATGGCACTGCGGTGGCGGCAGACGCCGTCCCCAGGGCTGCTGAGCTGCAGTGTGTGGAAGTATGGATAGCAGACAGGGAGTGACGGTAGTTGCAGAGCTGCGCTGGAATACCGCTCCAGACCTGAGGAAGGGCGCACCCGCGTCCAAGACCGACATGCATTTCAAAGAAATTTTACTACCAGGCAGATCCTTTGTCTTGTTTTTTGGCATATATTATCTTTGCACTCCCTGCCCTAGGAACTTGGCGCAGTTAGCACCAGCGATTCACCATCGGGCTGTTATGAACGACATCTCAGGCGCAGACGGCGCAACGGATCTGAGTCGGGTCAGTCGCCTAATGTGTTCGTCGCTTGTAGGCCCAACGCTCTTCATGTGGCTGGCCCTAGTGCTCACGGTTGGGCTCATCGTTGGAGTCTGCGTTCCTGTTGGAGCTCCTTGGCATGATGGCGTGGAAATCTCATGGGGCAGGATGGAGTGTGGAAGCGGTAACGAGGTAAATTATTACTACGAGGAGGTCGCTGCGGTGCCGTCTATCAGCTGCCTGGCCGCATGGCCTTTGCAAGCTTGCGCTCTAGAGCTGAGATAACTATGCATGTTGAGACTAGCACAGCAGCTCTTGTGCCGCTACGACTTGTGGGAGTGGAAGGGAAGCAGCTTGCAACGCGTCGCGAAGAAAGTGGCAAGGGAAGACGTCATCGTACTTTGTAGCTATTTTAACAGGGAGATCTGGCTGCAACACTCTGGCATCGCTCTGCAGGCAGCCTGTCTGACTTCCGCCGGCGACAGAGGGAACAGGCCTGCATGAGAGTTTTACCATGCATTTGATGGAGACAGTGGTGCAGCCAGGAGACAGGCTGTTATAGTCAAGAGTCTTGTAGCTCTTCCAGGTTGTGAGCGATTTCTGTGGACCTTCAGACTTTCAAGATGTAGCTTAAGGTGAACAATCCGACCAGCTATTCAAAGACCTCTTGAGTTGGTGCCTTCAGAAGACACTTGGGGTGCATCTCCCCAGCCATGTCCAGGAGTGCTTTCTTGGTCTCAAGTAAAGTCTAGTACTCGTGGCAGGAAAACAACATCATGTAACTGTGGCGTGTTTTTGTCATTTGTTCAGACTGCATACCAGCCCTTTTGTGCTGCCCCTCCTTGCAGGAATCTGCAGTGCCGGCCCAAGGCAGCGAGAGCCAAGAGGAGGCTCACTTGCGCAGGGGCTTGTCATCCAGACGTATGGTGCCGGCTCCTACAAAGTGACATGATTCCGACAAAGAAATGTGAAATGACATGTTGAAAATGTGAAAAACGGCCACCTCCCCAGATCTGTCCAAACCCTTCCAATTTGCGGGGACCCCAAATGTGTAAACCCACCGAAAAATGGCGAAACATGTGATCGCAAAACATGTGAAGAATGGACAATCAAAACAATGCTTCACATTTTTCACAGTTTTGG